CTCTGAGGCCGCAGCGTTCATGCCAGTCTTGGTTCCACCAAACTGTTCCTCGGCGCAGGTCAGCAAAGGGAGGCTGAAGATAAACCCCAGAAAATACCAAGACTTGCAACCCTACGGTCCGAAGCATAATCAAAGCCCTGATCTTTTCCTTGCTCGTACAGCCGTTTGGCTTTGGCTAGGCATTGAATAGATTAGTTCACTGAAATTGTACTGACTTATTGCTGCTATTGATCCACAGGTGTAGACCGGTCTCCTGCCATACCAATAGCTAGCGTTATATTTTCTTGTTAGGAGTGCCTAATGCTGATTGAATCCAATACTATTCAATGCGAAGCCTTTTCTGGACCCTGCTTCATGTGTTTACATGGCTGGGTTTTGTCAGGCAGCACAGGCCAATTTGCACAATGGACAGGTTGCTTGCTGCTAGCCTCTTCTGCTCTAAGATATCTAAGATGTTGATTAATGGTTACCCTCAAAGTATTTTGCCTTGACTATTGGAATTTGCTGTCAATGCCCATGTTGGTTTTCTTTGTTGCTAGTATTTGTTCGTGATGCATGGTCCAGTGTGCAAATGGTCATGGCTCTACGGTGCCTCCTTCTCATTTCTTTTTGGCAGCCTTTGGAGCCTTTGGCTGGATGTCATCTTTCTCCTTGCCGTCATCTTTCTTCCGCTTCTCAGCTTTCAGCGGCTTCTCATCCTTCGGCAGCTTCTCATCTTTCTTCAGCTTGGCCTTTTTGTTGCCATCCTTCTCCTTGGCGGTGGCCGTCGCAGACTGGCTCTTGAGCTTCCGCAGCTCCTCGTTGGTGAGGCTTGCCTGACAGAAGCGGCATGCCACGGCTAAGCAAACCCGCTTTCTATATTCTATAGCCATGAAACACTTGGTTGGGTTTAAACCTTTGGCGCTTGCTCAGCGCTTCCAGCGCTTGTTCAGCGCTTCCCCTCAAAACTTGCGCTTGTTCAGCGTTCAATTCAATAACAATCCCACAATATCCCACATCTGTTCAAAGAAAACCATCAATTGTTGAAGGAAACCAACATCAATTTGTTCCTTGGCACTTGCTTGTTCAGCGTGTGTGCCAGCAACCGCCCTGCTCCACGGAACATCAACAACTGCCTCTTCTGTTGGAGCAGCTGCAGGCTGTGGCGCATCCGTCGAGCCGGCTGAACCAGATGCAGCATTTTCTCGCTGGATCCTCATCACCTGACCAGCAGTGAAAAGGCTGATGATGCTGTCCATTTCTTCCAGGTTTGGAGTGGTAATGATGGATGATAGATGTTTAGATTCAACCATTCTACAGCCACAAAAAACAAAATGCCGGCAGTGCCAACTTTAACATGCTGTTGTATGTTTTTTCATGTTTTGGATTTGTCCCCGCCTCCTCCGCCACCCGCTGTCGGATGGATTCCTCCATAGCCTTTCGCATCTCTTCCATTTCCTGGTCCCTCTCCGCTCTTGACGAGCCAATGGTGTGCGACAGGAACGCCAGCTGATTGGACTGAGCCTGCATCACACCGCTCATCTTGCCCATAGCCGAAGTTGCTCCGGATGTAAATCCTGCCATCTCTGCCTGCTGCTTCTGCTGATGCGTCGCCCACACAGCTGTATCTGCTGCGAACTGCTGCAGTCCACGGATAGCGTGCCGAAGAATCCTCCTCTCTCTGCTAGGGCCGTGGCTTCTGTGCCACTTTCCTCCTGGCTTCAGCTGGTTGACGCTGTGGCCGCCTCCCAGGATGAGCCCTGCGTTAGATGGAACGTGGGGTTTGCCACCAGCTTTGCCACCAGCTTTGCCCTTGCCCTTGCCAGCAGCTGAGTCCATGGCGCCGGTGCTGGGTGCATTGGTGCTGCCAGTGTTGGCAGTTGTGGTGCTGCCGGTATTGGCTGTGTTCCTGCCGCCGGTGTTGGCAGTTGTGTTGGCGCCGGTGTTTGCAGCTGAGTCCAAGTTGGCGCTGCCGGTGTTCGCAGCTGCGTTGGTGGTGCCTGTGCTCGCAGCTGTGTTGGTGCTGCCGGTGTTCGCAGCTGCGGTGGCGCCGCGGGCGTTCGCAGCTTTGGTGGTGCTGCCGGTGTTAGCAGCTGCGTTGGTGCCGCGGGTGTTCGCAGCTGTGGTGGTGCTGCCGGTGTTTGCAGCTGTGTTGAAGCTGCTGCCGTTGGCGGCTGTGTTGGCGCTGCGGGTGTTACTGGCAACTGGCTTCGGCTTTGCGACAGGTGGAGCTTTTGAAGTTTGGCCCACGGGTGCTTTTGCTACTGGGCCAACTGGTTTGGGCAATGGCCCTGGCGGCGCAGGCTTGCTTGAAGGCGGAGGAGGTCCAGGTGGTTCTGTTGCATTGGCCGGTGCTGGTCCAGGTGGTGGAGCTGGAGGGCCGTCTGGTGCCGTTCCGGTAGCCCTCGGCCCAACCGAACCCCACCGTGATGGGTGGACAGGTGGCGAACTCACTTCCACCGGCTCCGGAACGTCCACCTCGATTGGAGGAGCAACTGGTCGCCACTGGTTCCTGGCCCAAATCCAGTGCTGTCCCTGCCAGTAGTGAACCTTGTGCCACTGCCCGGCACTCCACAACCATGTGTCAGGCTTTGTCATGGCTGCCCAGTAGTGCTGAAAAATCAAAATTGCTGTAAACTAATTTTAGTTTTAACTTTGACACGCGTGGTTTCTAACGAACTCAGGTCTAACTAAGAGGAACTGACTTGTGGTTATATTGCGCTTATGCAGGAGGTGTTTGAAGGGCCCGAGCATGGTATACCTGGGATAATTATCTTACGATGATTGCGGTCTTGCATCCATCACATGGTCGACATTGAGTACGGTTTATTTACTGCTGTTGCCTCATTGAGACTTTGAGCGCAGCAATCAACATGAATAAAGTCACCATGCAGCAGGTGATTGTTACAACTGGTAAACGGCAACGAGTTGACTGCTGCAATGAAAATAGCCGGCTGAAGTCAAGCTGAAACTGAGGTTGCCGACGGCGACTTCAAAGGCACCAGCAAGACATGGTTGGGCCTGGGGCGCCGGCAGCTGTTATTCTCAACTTGATAGGAGGAAATGATTTTTTATCATGGGAATACGATCGTTCTTTCTGGTGCTTTCGGAGTTAATCACCTTCTAGGAATCTGCACAGCCTTGATCAGCCATGTCATGAGGAGCAACATCAACATCACTCGTCCGCATGCTTGGGGTTGATGGAAGAGTTCTGAAATGTTCTGAACAGGAACTTGTAACACCCTCACTGCAATCAGAGCACACTTCCCAAGAAGTATTCTCAAACAATACCTGCGTGGGAATGCGCAATATGTGTTTCATGGTTTTTTGGAAGCAGCTTCCAAAATGCCCCACACCCCAAAAAGCACCAGGACCATCATCGAACAGCCAACGAAAACCTCTCCGCCTTAAAAGTAAACAACCCATCAAGGACAGAAACCAAACAGGCTTTTACTATCAAAAATTGAAGAGTGAAAGATGCAGATGTTTGATGGACGCGCTTGTTCAGCGCATATTATGATATGATATGGCGCTTGTTCAGCGCATACTATCGCGCTTGTTCAGCGCAGGATGCTCATGTCACTCTACCCTCACCAAGACGACCCTACCTTACTTCCTTCCCTTACCAAGACGACCCGCCAGGCCCAAGCTGCGGTGCCACGCTCAGTTCCACGCGCCTGGGGCCATGCGTCATCCTATAGTTTGTTTTGGGTATTGCCAGTGTTGGATGAACCCTTAGTGACCCTTAATCCTTAGCGCTGCACAAGCGCATGGCGCTGAACAAGCGCATAACAGAAATGGTGATTCAATCTACTCAAGGGGATGTAAGTATTAACACTAATGATCGTCTTAACCAATCCTAGCCGACGGATATAAGCAGTTGTTTAATAGTGTTAGTAGGGTATGGTAGTTCGCCTTTGCCAGGTGGCAGCGCGCTTTAGGTGTGCGGGAGCCCGCCTTTGCGAGGCGGGTGCGCGCTTATTTTGCCGGGGAGCGCGCCTAATGGACAAGTAAGGAGGCATCCTACCTGGTAGTCAAGTTTTTAAGCTTTTTTAGGGTCATGAAGAGCGGGGTTGGGGATTTTGTCAGCCCTAAAAAACAACACCCCACCTCAACCGTACCCTGTAGCCGTCAAACGTTTTGACCATTGAATGCTACGTTGAAATGTTGAACGTTGTTAGTGATGATGTGTCTATCATAATGTTGCCTCAGCTAGCATTCAATGGTCAAAGCGTCTAACAAGAATCAATGGCTAGCAACGACTGACCTTATTACATAATAGCCCAGTCAGGCGCTGAACAAGCGCAATGCGCTGCACAAGCGCAATGCGCTGCACAAGCGCAATGCCCAAGAAGCGCTAAACTTCCAACCAGGCGGAACCAGAACTAGCTAATGTTGCTCGTTTGCTGCGGCTCACAGACATGGCTGCTGTTTTTTTTTGTGCGGGTTGCAGGCAATGTCAAGAATATTATATCGGCAGGGCTTATTTCAGATTCATCAGTTCAAGGTCATTTCAGACAAAGTGTGACCCAATCAGGTGACACCTAATAAATACGATGAAAAAACAATCCTCAAATTCAATCTATACTGATGGAAACTAGCAACAGGTGACTTTGACCGACCATACTTTCCGCGGCCACCTTGTGTGATGGATCTGCGCAAGCAGAAACTGTCGAATCTGCTGAGCCGGCCATGCTTGTGCAATGCCAGCAATTGCTTCCAGCAGTTTGTGGGATGTGAGGAAGATGTGTGGGCCGCTCGCGAGAAGTTGAGCAGTCTAGATGCAAGCTCACGTGTGCCTTGCATGCGCCCTTTTTAAAAGTTCTATTTTGTGGTAAGGGGTTGCTTTTGGAGGGGTGTGGAGGTTTTTTTCTTTCCAGAGGCTCGCGCTGTCATGCAAGGCAGCAGCCGTAGCAAGGCTTTTCAATGTTTCAATCCCTCAGCGGGATTTGGAAGAGTCTTTGGCTATTCTTAGAACATCTTCAGCAACCCGAAGAGACAAAACGCAACCTGACATCATGATGTCTTCAGATGAAGAATTTGGAGTGTCAGACGATGAGCCTGGGGTGGCAAAGGAGATCTTCGAATCATCAGATGATGGAGGTGAGGCTGCTGTGCCAGCCCTGGGAAATCAATTGTGCTGCGAGCAAGAATTTTTCTCCTCCTCTGATGAGTCCACCAAGCCAGAAAGCTCTTGCCAGACTGGCAAGAAAGAAGTGGTGGCCAGAAGTGCTTCGAAGAGAGCCTACACAAATAGGCGATCACGAACTGGTGCTGCTCGCTTTTTGGGGAAACCAGTTTGCCTACAAGCTTTGCGTCGATTGCTTGCGATTGGCACTAGCACATTGGACAAACTACGACACAGCCAGGTTGCTTTCACTGGACGGTCCGCTCGACCCAAACATCCGATCTTCGGTTTCTGCTTGGATGGCGAAGCTTCAGCCAAGTGGCATTCAGTGGCAGTGTTCCTCTGGCACATTTACCATTCTTCTGCAGAGTTCATGCCTTCTAATTTGCGCCTTCCGCGTGGAAGAAAGGAAACCCCAGAGCCATTTGATCGTGCCACAGTTGACGGTGATGACCAAGACTTCAGCGTTCGCTATGTCTCAAAAGTTCTGAGTGAACTTCATGAATACAACGCAGACATCAATGTGAAAATGCTTGGACCTGGCGGGGATGATGTTCCAAAGCGGTGGCTCCAGCATTCAAACAGGACAGAACTCTACCATGAGTATGTGGCGTACAGCGAGGCAAATAACTTGAAACCAGCAAGTTATAGCACCTTCTTGAAAGTAGTCAATTGTGTCATGAAGCCTGGCATGCGTGGATCCCATCTTGCCTTCCGCAAGGCTGGTGACCATGCCCAGTGTGATGTTTGTTGGAAGCTGAAGCGTTGCATTCGGCAGTCGCGGACACATGATGAACGGATGCAACATCACAAAGTCCTTATCAAGCACACCTTGAGCCAATGGCTGGACCGCCAGGAGTATTGGCGACATAGGGCCCTTTCCCATTCCTATTTTCAGCAATTTGCAGAGATGGGAGAAAAGCTTCTTGGAGGACCACACAGATTTTGTGGTTACATTTGATGTTCTTGGCCGCTGTAAAAAAATTGGTTTAAAAGCATTCTATGTTTAAATTCAGATTCCGCAACTGAAAACGAATGATACTTAGTATTAGTTATTGTATGTCTTTGTGTGAGCTTTCAGGTTTCTTTCGTGGTTTTAATTGAACATTGAAACTGAGGTTGCTGGCCGGGTCAGTGAGTACATCGGTTCTCACCTGCATCCAAGACGGGATGGACCAGGCGAAATTCAAGATGCCAAGGCTGGACCCTAGACTGCGACACTCCAAACTCGTCGAGCGTTTGTACCGGCCACAACAGCACATCGTTGCAAGCTGGCTGCACGGCCACAGTCTGCGCTTCTGGGTTTCCGGTGAGGAATTACCAAAAAACTCAGAGACTTCAATCGAAGCAATGGCCAGAGCGTTGTCTGAGTGCCTGAATGATATGCAGAGGTTGCCATTGACGCTCCATTGCCAGCATGATTCGACGTACCGCGAGGCGAAGAATCAGTACTTCTGCCGCTTTTTGTTACTGATGTGCGCATTGGGCGTATTCCGCCAATGCTGCATTAGTTTCTTGAGAACGGGCCACAGCCGCTTGTCCAATGGAATTGAATTTTTCAACGTGTTAAGAAAAGCACAACGTTGGACCTGGAGTAACGAATTCCTCATGATTTTTTAGAAAATCATATCAGGCCACGAAGACGTGGACCAGATTTTTTCGCAAATAGCGGCGATGTTGGCGTGCAAATCTTTCAGCACGCCAGATGACTTGCTGGAGATACTCAACATGACTTGCCGAGCGGACGATGGGGCCGAGGCGGTTCGCAAGAAGCGGAGGAAGCTCCAAAAGATTGCCTGCCATGCAGCTAGGTTGGACGAAACTGCTAGGTGGAAAGCTTGGGGTGACGTGGCCGGCGTCAAGCTTGTTGGTTTGCGATCCTCGGGCACTGTTAAACAACAACTTTTCAAACTTTTCAACAACATCATTGATTTCATCTGAGGGCTGCCCTCATTGAAATTACCAAGCTGTCCTCTATTCCCATCCTGCTAGGAAAAGTGGGGCAGCTTCGTTTTTGCCTCAGAGCTGATCTGAGCCCAAGTGCATATGGCAGCTGCCAAGTCGATGAGCTGAAGCATTCGCAGCCACAAGCCTGTGACGTTTTGTTGGTGGTCAAGGCCAGGATGGCCGACGCGAACCCAACACATGTTATTTGCATGATGTCGGCGCAGCAAGCTGCAAGTTTGCGGATGGCTTTTGAGCAACCATCTGGAATAGCAGGGTTGCGGGACATTGGTGACTCTGTTCGCAGAAACATCACCAACTATGCTCCGAGATGTCAAGCGCAAGGGGCTATCACACAAGATGGGGCAGCCTATTTGATGGCTTGGTCCAGGGGACAATGGACCAGGAGGGCACGACCCACTTCCTACTCAATTTTGCGGTACCGGCCACCATCACCGCTAGCTGATGTCACGTTGGACCCCCGAGTGCCGTTGACCTGGCAGAGAACATCAAGGTGGAGAACTCACAATGTGAGAAGCCGAGGTGATGAAAGTGATGAGTCAGCCTCTGAAGAAGAGGATGCAGGGGAAGCCATCCAGCTAGCAGACTGAACTGCTAAGGGGTACGCGGTTCTAAAAAAGGACAGACATCACACCTGGAACATCCTGGAACCCACTGAACACACATGGACTGTCAAAGTTTGGCAGGCGGCGCAGCGCTGGAGCCCAGCCGTGGGGAAACTCAGATAGGGGCAACCTCGAGATCACTCATCAAAATGTGAAGGCTATTGGATTTCAAACTGGAACCACTGCCAAAAGGGCTTGGAGCGGTGACTGCAAGACATGCCAATTGTTTTCATAACAAATCTACTGAGTCCATTGTTCTTCATTGAACATCAGTTGATCCAGGGTCACCTTTCATTGATTTGACTGGGGCTATGTTCTGAAAATCATCTTGTCAAGCTTTTGTGATCAAGCTACTCCTCGCGGCTTGCAAGGCAACGCCTTCGGTGTATCTGAGTGTACAGGCATGGCAAAAGGCATCAAGCGACCTGCGTCCAACCGGCAGCCTCGCAAAAGGCCAGCCGCCAAGCAGCCCAGGCCTGGTTTTGGCCACGTTTGCCACATATTTCATTACCCTTGTTTTTGGCAGGGAGGAAGCAAAGCAAAGGTAAGACCTGCAACTTTGAACACACTGATTTTGAATCTCAAAGGGGTCGTTCTTTTTTAGCAGGAAGGAAGCAAAGCCAAAGCCACAAGTTGCCGATGGCACTGATCCTGAAGATTTTTTTGCCAGCTCAGACAATGAGCGCCGCGGCATTTGCTTGATATTTAATAAATCCTTTTGGATAAGATAACAGTTGTAAGATGATCATAATTGCAAGCCCTTATGTCATTTCCTGCAACCTGATTGTAACTTTGTATTTGGCCATGGTCCTTCTGGGCTGGATGATGGACGGTGTCAACCACTGGGAAACGAAATGGATCTTCCTCCATCCCGAGGTCTGTGCGTGATCGTGCTGAGCAAGGGTCGGCGCATGAGTCTCCGGAAATTCTTCTCTATAGCAGTTCTGATGAGGAGCGTCAGACCCATCCCAAGCAGAAAGGGAAACCGAGCCGTGCTGATGCAAACAGAGCTGACGACGGCGGGGATGATCCAGATGCAGATCTGACAACGTTGCCTGCCTGGCCGGCTGATATGGAGTTTGGAGCACCTCAACTAATTTTTGAAAATATTTGTTTTACATGTAATTTGGCCACGTTCACAAACTTGTCTTCTGGGTGGCTCTGTGTCTCCTGACAGTCTTTCCTCCAGGCGCGTGGATTCATCGGCCGAGCTTTGACGAACACAGATTTCAGACCATTGCAACAACACCTGTGTAGCCTGAGCACGCGCCTACTACACTTGTCCGACGAGAGGGGCACCCCAGAAATCAGAATCGGTACGATTTGCTCTGGCATCGGAACACAGGAGATGGTGAGTGACATCTTCAACGATCTCTGGAAGACAGCGCAGCCTGATTTTCCCATGAAGGCTTGTGAATTGACAGGTTAGACTGACTGTGCATGTTAACTTTGCAAACTTTAAGATGCTTGAGAGGTCAATAAGTTTTGCTTTAGGGGATGTTCAAGGACATAGGGCATGGTTGATGGCCCCGCCCGGTTTTTCTGCAGGTGAGACACTCCTTCCTTTGTGAGAATGATAAGCAAAAGCTGCGATTTCTCAATGAATCCTTTCCGGATGCTGACCACATCTTCCACGACATGGTTGAAGTATCCAAGGGACGGGCCAAGGATTTCAAGCTCGGCGGGCAATACACTACAGTTCCAGAGGTTTGATCAAGTTTGTTCGAACGGGTAGGGTCCAATCTCAGACTTCTAAACCTGATGTTTCCGGCCCTGAGGTGGATGGTGTGGTGAGCGGTTTTCCTTGCGTTAGCGTCAGCGCTTTGAACATGTGTGCCAAAAGCTTCAAAGATACCAGTGGTGCGACTGGATGCGGCTGGAAGTCTGTGCGAGACTTTATGAAGCGGAACAGGCCCGGGTTTGCTGTGCTCGAGAATGTGAAAACTCTTACCCACACACGGGCCATTGACGACTACACGAAGCCTGTGGACATGATCATGAAGTTCATGGCCGGGCTCGGCTACGAGTGCATGTATGAAGTGGTGAACTCAACCAGCTATGGCTTACCTCAGTCAAGGACTCGTTGTTGGATGATCTTCATCCGGCTGGATTCCTTCCAGGCCCTTGCTCCTAGGTCGCCTGACTCATTACTTTCCACATTCCAATCCTTTCGGCTGCAGCCTTGCGCCTTGCAAAAACTCTTGCTTGATGGCAACGATCTCGAGGACAAATCGTCTCATCGCACCACGCAGCACAAGGCCAAGGGTCTGAAGTGGCATGAGAAGTTCGAGACAGCTTGTGGGCATCTTGGCAAAGTTTCTTGGCTTTGACTCACAAAGCCAGACCCTATGATAAACAATGGGTTGCGACGTATGAAGTCGAAACTTTGTTTGGGAAGTTTAGAGTTGAGGACTCCGTGAATGGCATGCTCAAGATCATCAGGCGCTCTGGTTTGAACCTCCCAGAGCGAGAGCTTTGCATTCTCGCTACAGCATCTGTGGAGTTGATGAATGACCATGGGGTAGACCCATCAAAGGAGGAAGTTGTGATACAGACAGTATCTCGTTGCAACGTTTGTGCAGTTTCGGGTCCCCAAACTCAACATAAACCATCTTCAACAAAGATGTGCGTTGGACATTGACATACTTAAGGAAATTTCGCATATTCCTGAATAAACTCAGGATCAGAACTTTGACAGGGGCACTTTTCTTCGGAGCAACCCGAGACTTGTCAACTGTACCATCCCAAAGGGGCGCTATGTGCTGACGAAGCAGTGGCGACTTTTGACTGCCCAGGACCTCCCTATGATTATGTTTTTCCTTAGGGGCTTGGTTTTGGATCATGGAGTTTTAATAGTGTGAAAATTTCATTTGATTGCAATATGTTTGCATCAATTTACAGGCTTGGATTAGGATGGCGTTTCTCTGGATCAGAGCCGTGTGAATCCAGGAATGTAGCAGGTTGCAGGGATTTGGACAGCACGAGCATGTGCGCTACAACATGGAGAATCTCCAGCCGACTCTCTTGAAATCCTTCGCTGGGAACTCGTTTTACCCTCAATCAAAGGGATTTGGACATTAGACATTGAAACTTTCAGCATTTTACACCTCATGGACTCATGAACGATGAACTTTCCAGTTCCGTTCAGTTGATTCAGAACGCATGTTGGCCAAGCCTTGCCACCATAAGGTTTTCTATGCCAGTGTGTGTAGCTGCCTTCTTGACAGCCCTTGGGCATTGGCGTCCTGAGCCTTGACCGTGCCACGCTGTCAGCGATCTCAGCTGATGTGCGCATGATGTGCACTGTGCACCTTAACTTAGTGCTTCTTGCGGCTCGCAATGCCATCAACCGCATTGCCATGAATCGCCGGCGACAAGTTTTCTTTAAAACTCAGGGATTCGTCGGTAATTAATCTGTGGTGGCTTACATCTGAACCGTTGCCAAGGGGATGCTAAAAGTATGAGGAGCTTCCGGAAGGATTGAGCTTGGTGTAGATCAGCTTGGTCAAGAAGATTGAGTTTAGATCATGTCAGGGACGAAAGTGACACTGAACAAGCCGTGGACTCGTGTTCAACATGTCAGCGAAAGTGTGTGTCAACATAACATGGACTCACTTTGAATCATGAACAGTCTTTTTGGTTCCAGATCGGCTGGTGACGGTGGCCCGCTCTCAGTGTCTGACAACGTCATGCCGCCCAAGAAGAAGCAGCGCATTTCTGGGGGAAATGAGGTGCCAGCTGTGCAGGCATCCTTGGACAAGTGGCTGCAGTCCATCTATGAGCTTCGCCATGCTCAAGAAGATGAATCCATGTCTCCTGTCCATCCATGGCCTGTGTTGCACGGCGGCACCTTTCTCGATGTTGCGAATCGGGGCTGGCTGGAGGTGGATAAGCTTGTCAGTTCTGTGCACAAACTGGTTCTGAGAGCCGGGCTGATGGCTCCTGACAGCTCTGAGACAGAGTTTCTGTCCAAGTACTGCACGATGGAGGCTGGCCGTTGTTGGGTTTCTTCAGCATGGTCCTGCGTTGATTTCTATTCAGCTATTGAAGTTAGTTCGCCCAATGTCAGTGATGTTTTCCCTTGTCTTTCCTTCCCTTGGCCGGACAAATTTGCTTTGCGCTGTGCTAGGCATGGCCGCCACAGCAGGGCCGAATGGTCACGAGCTCCATCCTTCAATGGAGTATGTCGGCAGATTCTTTTTGGAGGGGATTCGTTCCCATGAGCGAAGTGCTGGGCATTGCTCGATCCATTGCTGTGACCCGCTTCCGGGAGGCTGGGTTCTTGGGATTTTGTTGGATGGCGGACATCTCTCCTTCCCAAAGTTTAGCATCAGAAGTTGTTTCGGCTAGACCCTCTGTGAGGGTCTAGCCATAGCCTCTTTGCAGACTATATAGATGAAAAATTATATATATAGGATTTTCTAGTTTTGTAATATTGTACATTTTTTGGAATATAACTGTCAATTGCCTCATGGCTAGGCCCTCTGTGAGGGTCTAGCCATCAGCAACTTGGTGATTCAACACGATGAGGGCTAGGAATCTGAGAGCCAGTGGTTGGTTGGCTCCGGCTCAATTGTCTTCAAAGATTACTTCAATGAAAGATTCATGGAAATATCTCACCACACGGCACCACTTATGGCTAGACCCTCTGTGAGGGTCTAGCCATTGACAGTTCTTCATGGAAATATCTCACCACACGGCATCACAGAGGGTCTAGCCATAGACAGTTCTTCATGGAAATTTCTCGCCATCCCATACATGCTCATGGCGAGGAATTCTAATTGGTTATGTTCAATGGCGAGATATCTGTTTTGGGGCCATGGCGAGATATTCTGGATTGACCAACGGCGAGATATCCTGCATTGACCAGTGGCGAGATTTTTGTGTTCATGGGATTTTAAGAGTTGGTCAGCGGCGAGATTTTCCGCATCTGTAGTTGATTGTAATTGTTATCATTATTGAGTTCTTTTGTTGTATGTCTTGAAACAAAAACACATCGCGCTGCCCTTACAGGGTGAAGTTCTGAGCTTGCGGATCAACCCCGACATGGACATGGAGGCCCATTCCAAACATCAGATTGGAGTCCTTTGGTTCGACGATGGCAGTATGAAGGGGCTGGCCTGCTACATCAACCTCGTGGGCCTTGTAGTGTTGGACCAGCAGGGCAGTTTTCGCCCAGAGGATCTTGCCCATCCTCGGGTCCAGACCTTCATTCAGTCGCTTCTGCAGATTGCCACCATCTTCAAGTCAGATGTTGGCACTGGCTCGCTCATTGACAGCCAGATTTCCAGGGTGGTCAAGCAGAACCAGGATTCCCAGGCCCAGGCGATCTCGAGCTTTGGCTGGGCCTGCCTGCTGAGGCAGATGGCCCATCACGGTGAAGACATCCAGTTCGACCACTGCATGCAACTGTACAATCAACATCCAGCTGTGCAGCAGCAGATGGGCGACACTGAATCTCGGTACAATGTGTATACGTTAAGTTTCCACGAGTCATGTCATTTCCACGGGTCAGACCTTTTGTTTTGAAACTACTTTGTGATTCAGTGCAGGATGGCTCTGGTAGTGGAAGCGTGAAGATTGACAACAAGAAGGCTTCTGCAATAAAAAATTGGCTGGAAAAGACATGCAGTGATGTTCTGTGCTTGGTCGAAGCTTGTCAACATGATGTTCCCTTTAGCAGCGGTCCTTTTGGCGAGTCACTTTCATTGATGCCGTTCTTGTTCTTGGGCAGCAGCAGTCCCATCAGCCTAGCAGCCAGTGCAAACTGTGGTCTTGAGCCTCTTGAAGGAGAAAGCACCGTCCACATTGAATGGGAGCTGCCCCTGGATGCGGCAGCTCAGTCAATCCTTTTCAGACGGATCCGTTCGGACTTTGAATGTGCCACGTCATTGGTCGCTGTCAAGGACAAAAAGCGCTACCGTGCCAAGGAGCCTGAGCTACAGCAGCTTCGCAACCTCGTGGCTCTGTGGTCCCAAGTGAAAGCCCTTTGCGCCCACACCTTTGATGCTGAAGCATTCGAGCAGAAGCTAGCTTCAGGAAATCATGTGGACGAAGAGCTGGCCGAGGTCTTGCTGCAAAAGCCGGTCAGGTTTGGAACCAGCATGATGCCGGCGCAGAAGCAGAAGATACAAGAGATGTCTAAATCCAAGGATGCTGCTGTCCATTGTGAGGTTGAGCAGCAAAGGCTGGAGGTACGCTCCGCTCGCTGGGAGTTTTTCCGCAAAGCTTTGGGCCAGGATCAGAGCCAACTCCAGTTGGTGCAGTCAGCGCCGGCCAAGCTCGCTGCAATACAGCGTCGTGCTGAAGCCATGTGGCGGCAGGAGCAAGCTGCGTTGGGGGAGAAGGCAGTTAAGGCATGGTGCAACAAGTTCATGCGAGTGGTGCCTGTGGACAAGGTGGATTTTGTCATTGGCCCCATCAATGACTTCACCAACTTCATCGTGATTTGGCGTGGAAATACATGGTTGGAAAGGGTCCGGCATGAGATGATGTCAACCTTTGTTATGTGACAGTAACCATGTTTTAAAGAACCCACCTCATAAATTGTGACATTCTTGTCAAGACAAGGCCAAGCAGCACAACGTCTCAACGGACAAGGTGCACATCGTTGGGCTGGTGGACTTCAACAGCCCAAACGCTTCAACAAAGTGCCGGGTCAGTGAACTCTCCAAAGCCTTGAACTTGATTTGTGAGACCAACCCCGAGAGGAACATGGGCGTCCTTGACTTTCCGGACCAACCAAAAGCCTCTTCAAAGAGGGGTTTGGCCGATGAGGAGCACGAGATACAAAGTGCCATGTGGTCAATGAAGCTCCATGTGGACACCAGGTTCATCCTGTCGTTTGATTTTCACCCGCATGGCGAGTCAGTCACCAAGCGAAGGAGCCTAGAGCACACCAAACAAAAACAATTTTTTGAACATGTTGTAACTGCAAACGATTAGAGGTCCAAAGTTTCAATGTATCAAGCAGGCGCTGGTCGATGGGGCGCTTGGCCGTGCTGAACACAGAACTTGATTCCAACATCTGGCTCAACCACAGCGAGCTGAGCATTGCGGGGCGCCCTCTTCAAACGGAGCGCGTCCTTTTGCCGAGACAAAGGGATTTGGTTTTACCAGAATCTACAGATGCTTCTGCTGATTTGCGTTTGGCGGAGCGCCAGCGTCCGTCCCCGGAGCAACAGCGTGCCCAGAAGGGCAAGGAACGCATGGTAGCATTGCTGAAATCGCTCCTGACTCTTAGCGAGTACCATTGGGATGGGCCGGTTCTGGTGGTCAACTTGACGGGGTACGTCGAAGATGCTGGTCTGGCGGTGCCTTGCTTAATGTGACATGTTGACTCACGCACCGTGTGCGTTGAACAAGCGCACAGGTTGCGCTGAACAAGCGCACTAAAATTAACATGTTATTTGAGAATGAACTGAAAAGTTCAGTTGCTGTGACTGTGCTGTTGAGCACAGTTTGCGCTGCGCAAGCGCTATTAACATTTAAAACATGTATTCTGCAACAAAGTACACAGGTTGCACTTCAATGAACGGTTGAATTGATTTGTGGACTCGGAGGTTTTGGACCTGAAAGCCAATCCAGCCAGCATCGAAAGCTTTGACACGAAGCACCAGCTCCACTACTTGTCGGTGCACTTCATGGACAACGGCGAGTTTGGGAAGGCCCGCTTGATGCGGGAAGTCACTGAAGCATTCCTGGACTCCAAGATCAAGGTTGAAGGCTTTGCCGAGTTCAATGCAAATTGCCCTGCTGTATCTGAAGAAGAACTGTCGAAAGTACCGGGGGCCAAGGTCGCCCTGGGCTCTGTCGACGCCTTGAAGCTTGAAGTTTTGGTCCGAGATGGAGCCTCCGTGATCATCAAGCCGGATGAGGCCAAATATTTTCGCAGCATCCCAGATCGTTACTGCGAGAAGTTTGAAAAACTCTTCAAAGAGCATGGCGAGAAGTATGCGCAGTGTTTCTTGGCTCAGCACCTTTTAGTAATTCAAGCACAGATGCCAGTTGATTCAAATTTCATTAAGCATATATTATGCAGGCTTGGCTTCAATCATCCAGCCCGCGACTGGGACTTTCAACGCAGCAGATCCTGGTGCAGAAAGAGAGACAGACACAGTTGGAGCAGATGCAGCTGCTGCAACACCATCCATTGAAGAGTTTGAAAGCCTGGCCAAGTTGAATGAGACCGATGCCATTGAGGAGACCGTGATGTCTGAAGTGGCAGGTGTGAAAATTCTGAAGGGACGTTCCCGGTGCTTATACCTGATGTTGGATGGCGACGACGGTCCTAAGGAGAAGATCTTACCCCGCAAGACCCAGCTCGGAGGCTTTGGCTCCGGCACCTACGCAAAGCTCGACGACCCGACCCCAGGCGTGGAGTACAAGATGAAAAAGGGAGACGCATCCCTTGTACAATTCGATGAGTCCAGTTTGATGCCGGAGAGCTCCAACATTGAGGTGTGGTCCATCTACAAAATGATCGTGCAGGTGGAAAAGGCAAAACGCCTCCCGAAAGTCAATGTGTCATTCCTCAAGGTGACACGAAAAACGGATGCAGAAAGCCTAGATGGATTCGACATCGAAGTCCAGATGAAGATGAAGTACCAGCCAACGGGCGTTGGACTCGCAACAGCAGCAAGCAAGGCCATCTCTTGCAAAAATTTCTTCAAGGAGTATGTCGGGGACAAGGGCCTGGACGAGTCCAAGCTCATTGAGCCTGTTTTCAGGTTCAGGTATGAGCAGGTGGGTACAAACCTCAAAGTGCAGAAACCCTACGTCATCACGAGTGTCCCTTTGAAGCTGAACTTGAAGAAGCCAATCAAGGCTCACCAAGTTCAAAATCAAACTTTACTGATGTCATCGTTTTTCAATATTGATGTCATCATTATACAGCAATTACGATGTTCTTGAAGCCATTCATCTTGGAAGGTGGCCTGATTTTGCCGATGCGCGGGGTGTGACCGACCATGAATGATTCCCGCCGGATTTTTGATTTCATCTCCTATAGTCGTGTGGCAGTGGGAGACTGGCAATGATAGCAAGAGCCTCCAGTGACTCGTCGTCCAATCCCTGCCTGCCTGTCAATGTTCTGTTCTGAAGAAAACTTGATTTATGATAAGTAGCTGTTCTGGCAGAAGGAAGAGACGAGCGCCGAAAGGCTGGATCGTAGATGCTGAAATGTAGATGCTGAAAGGCTGGACTTGGAAGCTTGCAGATTCCACAGCGCAGATTGAATACAATAAATACAATAACCATGAACATCATCATGATCAGAATTTTCAACGGTGTTTATTATATAATATTATTCATGAGCTGTGCCTCGGATGCGCGCCAGAGTGCTGAGTGCATGCTTCAGTTCGCTGGGATGGCTCGCCACAAGGACGCTTGAGTCCTGGATTTCAAGTCATTTGGTAAAAATAATACTTCTTGCCGCGCAACCACGAATCCAGACAAGTGGATCATTGGAAATTTTGTGACTGTGTGACGTCTTTATTACTTGCTGAATCTGAATCAGAAGCGATCGGGAGCCAGTCGTTGCGAAGATTTACTTAAAGTGCCTAACACTGACAGCTGTCGGTGCTGAGTTGATTTGAATCACTGCAGGCATTTCATGTCAATCCCTGGCAGCAGCATGTCGTTCGATATTCAAGCGAGGATCCAGGCACGGTTGGAGTCTATTCATCCACCTGCTCCATTGCCGCGGGCCGTTCAAGGTCTTGCAGCAACATCGACCCCATCGAGACTCCCATCAAGGAGCCAAGGGCCAGAAAGTCAATTCGAGGAGCAGTCTGAAGAAACCCCGCGGCCCACCGTGCAAGCCAAAGCCACGGGTGCCAAAGGGGCGAAGGGCGCAAAGGGAAGAGGCCGCAAGGGGAAGAGCAAGGGCCAGGCAAAGGATGGCCAGTCAAAGGATGCCAACATGAAAGAACAGGCCGAGAAGAAGAATGATGGAGATCCTGCGCCTGAAGCTTTTACTGATCCCAACGCCTTCCCCGAGGCCAAGCCAGAAGAGGCACAGATTGAAGAAGAGGAGGAAGAAGAGCAGGAGTCTGAAGAGGTTGTGGAAGATGTCGAGGCTGTGGATGAGGACTCGCCAGCAAAGTTGCCTGTCTTGAAGAGGCCAGCGATTGCGAAGCATTTCATGAAACGACCTGCTTTGAAGCGACCTGCTTCGCAGACAGATGCTGGTCCGGTGAAGCCTTCCGAGCAATCCAAGGCCACGACTGAGACTGATACCAAGAAGGTGGATGGTGTTGATTCGGTGAAGCCCTCCAAGCGCTCCAAGGCCACGAGTGAGACCGAGAAGGTCACTTGGATGGTGGAAGGTTGGCAGGCCAGCATGTTGAAACATAAAACGATGTGTTCAATATCATGTTTCACCATTTTAAATAAATGTTTCAGAATCAACAAGAGGTCACTAGCAGTGGAAATCTCCAAGTGTCAGCTGCAGGTCTCGAAGTTCACAAACCCACATCGGAGCCCTTATTATAGCTACCGATCTCCAGATGGTGTGACTTACACATCGAAGTGCAAGGCGGTTGCGAAGGGCTTCCCGGCTCCTGTCGACGGTTGAGTTTTGAGGCATTCGTCTTGCTCAACACAGGATTTCGAATCATGCTGCGAAGGACAAAAAGGAACATGCTGACAAGTTCATTACATCTCATGACACGGACAGCGCTGAACAAGCGCATTGTATAGAAAGCGCTGAACAAGCGCATGAGCTCCCTAAACTTATGTTGATGCCCCCCCAAGCTTGCAAAAACTTGCTTTTTCAAAGACTAATATTACTACTTCATACAGATTCATACATAATAGCTTTTATGAAAATGACGCTGCGCAAGCGTTAATGGCGCTGAGCAAGCGTGGCGCACAGAATCATTTGGAAAAAGAATGTTTGTTTCCAGTCTTTCTTCTCGCCTGAGCTTGCCGCGCGACCAGGATGTGGCTGCACTGCGTGCTGCTCAAGCCTGGCCAGGGAGACTCAGTCCGCAGGCTGTCACTGATGTTCTCACTGAAAGGCTGTGTTTGGTTTTCCCGGCAGTTTGCGCGGCATTTTGATTCAAGGCAATCATCATCAGTTCAATGTCAAGTATCGGTTTTTTTCACCGATTGCAAATTCGGAGCTCAACAGTACTGGATCCTCGTTATCAGAACTCAGACCACAACGATTGCCAAAGCTCTTGAAGCTTAGCGTTCGAACTCAAGTTTTTGGCTGCCTGTTCCTCTGTTAATTTTCCATAGCCGGACCATACCCGGCTGGATGCTATGCGGGCAAATGTTTTACCCACTTCTTGAGGAACATTTTGGGATTTTAAATCATTAATGCAACGGTGACGGGCTGAATGTGAACGAATCTGGCTCACTTTCACTGCAGTGATATCAGGAGGGGCAAAGTTTCCGCGAGCTCGCCGGATGGCTCCAGCCACTGTGTCCTGGAATAGGCAAGAACTCTTTCTTAGTCATTGACTGCTTCGAACCCTTATTGTTTAAAAGGTGACTGCAGCCCCACAAAATATTCAGCGAATAATTTGCGAACGGAAACTTCAAAAACAAGAGTCCTTCGTAAGACGGCCCATCTGGTTGTCTGACCGTTTCGGGGGAAAGAAGTATTGCTTCGGCTCCGTGGGATAGTGCCAGTGATCCTGAAATGTTCTCAGACCATGCGCGCCCCATTTTTTGGTGTAGGTAAAGGATAGGCCACCATTGGACGACCATTTCTCCAGGAAGTGGCGTAACGTGGGGCATATTGGCTTCATCATGCTCTCTCGTCTCTTGAGCGCCTTGACTTTGACCCGGTGGTTTTCCATGTCCACGTCTTGGAGCTGGATTTGCAGCACCTCTGTCACTCGACAGCACAATAGATGGCACAAGGTAAAGAGCACAAATAGCCAAGTTGGACCGACTCGTGCAACATGAGCAACCCAAGCTTGCCACCCCTGTCCTGTCAAAGCATCTGCCTTGCCCCGTTTACGCGTTGCTTCCTTTTTCTTGTTAGCCTTGTCCTTCTTCACTTCCTTCTGCGCTTTGCCTCTCAACTTGGCCATGTTGTTCTTATTGTCCTTCTTCACTTCCTTCTTCGCTTTGCCCGAAAACCTGGCCATGTTGTTCTGATTGTCCTTCTTCACTTCCTTCTTCGCTTTGCCTGGCAACTGTGCCATGTTGTTCTTATTGTCCTTCTTCACTTCCTTCTTCGCTTTGCCCGTCAACTTGGCCATCTCTTTTGCCATGTTGTTCGAAGTTCTTAGCGCTGATGGTTTTGGGTGTTGCCACTTGAGCCACAAACTAGCTGCCAAGAAACAGTAAGAAGTTTCCGATTATCTTTGGCACCGTTACCGTCACTGTGCGTTGTGTTTCCGCGTCACTGCCACTGATGAACAAAGGATGATGATTGTGTTGAATGTCACACACAGCAACCCCTTGCGCGCTGCACGTGTTAAACACTTGGTAGGTGGCCTACATGCCCAGCGTCGCGGCTCTTGTTGGCACACCGCTTACTTGTCCATTAGGCGCGCTCCCCGGCAAAATAAGCGCGCACCCGCCTCGCAAAGGCGGGCTCCCGCACACCTAAAGCGCGCTGCCACCTGGCAAAGGCGAACTACCATACCCTAGGCGAACTACCATACGCTACTCTAAGCTTGGCTTATATATATATAAAACATATTTTCGCCCCATACTACACGCATGGCTCTTGCGCATTTACTTGGCTCTTAATGTGTGTTGGCTGCGAATGTTGGTGATGACATACATGTCAGCGAGTGGGGGGGTCCCCCAAAGATAAAAGGTTTCAATGTTTAGTAAAATGCACATGTTTGATGGACACGCTTGTTCAGCGCATATTATGGCGCTTGTTCAGCGCGTATTATGGCGCTTGTTCAGCGCAGGATGCTGATGTCATGTTTAGGTAAACACTTTCCTTATTAAGTTGTTACTCCTGTTTGATGGGTGCACTTGTTCAGCGCGCGATACGCTTGTTCAGCGTTTAAGACACCCTACCCTTACCAAGACGACCCGCCAGGCCCAAGCTGCAGTGCCTTGCTCGGTTCCATCCGCCTGGGGCGGCGTGTGAGTGGGATCTTATAGATAGTTTGGATTTTTTGTATTGGCAATGGTGGATGAAACATGAACAATGGTCCTTAATCCTTAGCGCTGCACAAGCGCATGGCGCTGAACAAGCGCGTGGCGCTGAACAAGCGCATGACAGAAACGGTGATTTATTGAACTGAGATAATTGTTGTAGATATAGCCGATGATGTAGGGAACATGAGTGATAAGTAAGCCTCTTAGCGCTGAACGAGGGCTGAACAAATATATGGCGCTGAACAAGTGCATTAGTACAGAGGTGATTCAGTGAATTTAAGCTGACGTTGTAGATGTAGATGTAGCCAACGTTGGATGGAACGTGTGTGATAAGCTTCTTAAACGGGTGACCATTGAACCCAATTTGCTGGTTGCAATGGTCACTTTTGATTTTGACAAGAAGGGGCATAACAGCTTCACCTGTTAGGGCCCTCTTGATTTCACTTCTTTCTCCACTGTGCGCCGGCGCACACCCAGGCCCTTTGCAGTTCGCCGTGGCGCCTTTGCAGCTCGCCGTCGGTAACCTCAGTCTCAGCTTGACTTCAGCCGGCCATTCTCATTGCATCAGTCAACTCCTTACATTTTCAAGGTGAAACCATCATCAACATGCGCGTCCCTATAGAACAATCAGTTGCAGTCACTTGACACGCGGTGATTTAAATCATGTTGATTGCTTTGAATTTAATTTGCTGTGAAAGCTCAATGAGGCGTAGGTAGCCGTGTTATGGATACAAGGCCGCAATCATCATGAGGTAATGGTTCCATCACATTGACCACTCTCAGGTCTTCAATGCAAAAATATGGGCCCCCTGCATAAGGGTAATAACAAATAAGTTCCTCTTCGTTGAAAAATGAAACTGGACCTACCTTCGTTAGAAACCATACCTTTGACTACTACATAATTTAATACATCGTTAAAAAATGAACTTACTCCGACTGTTTCATTTTCATTTCTTACGCACAGCTGGCCAGCCATGGCTAGATCTGACGACACGTGGTTGTGGAGAGCAGGGCAGTGGCACAAGGTGCACTACTGGCAGGGACAGCATTGGATTTGGGGCAGGAACGGTTGGCAACCTGTGGCAGCTCCAATTTCGGTGGACATTCCGCAGCCTGTGGAACCGAATTCACCGCCTCTCCACCCGTCACGGTGGGGGGAGGTTGGACCGAGGGCAACAGGACCTGCGGCAGATGGACCTCCAGCTCCACCTCCTGGAAGTGCACCTGCCAATGCAACAGAACCACCAGGACCTCCACCTGGCGCTCCGCCTTCAAGCAAACCTGGTCCTGCACCGCCAGGGCCATTGCCAAAGCCAGTTGGCCCAGTAGCCAAATCGCCACGGCCCGGCCAAACAGCAAAAGCGCCACAGGCAAAGCCAGTTGCCAGTGGTGGCACCAACACCGGCAGCAGCACTGGCAGCACCAACGCAGCTGCCCATACCAGCAGCAACACGGGTGCGACACCGGCAGGAGGAACGCAGCTGCGAAAAGCGGCACAGCTGCGAACACCGGCAACACAGTCGGCAACACCAACACCGCCAACCCCGGCAGCACCAAAGCCAACCCCGGCAGCACCCAAGCCAACACCGGCAGCACCAACACAGCCAACACCGGCAGCACCAACAACTGCCACAGCAGCCAACACCGGCGCAGCTGCCAACACTAGCAGCACCAACTCAGCCAGCGGCAGCAGTATGGACTCAGCAGCCAAAGGCCAAGCTGGCAAGGGCAATGGCAAAGCTGGTGGCAAAGCTGGTGGGAAACCCCACGTTCCAGGTCGCGCAGGGCTCTTTCTTGGAGGCGGCCACAGCGTCAACCAGCTGAAGCCAGGAGGAAAGTGGCACAGAAGCCACGGCCCCAGCAGAGAGAGGAGGATTCTGCGGCACGCTATCCGTGGACTGCAGCAGTTCGCAGCGGATACAGCGGTGTGGGCGGTGCATCAGCAGAAGCAGCAGCAAGAGATGGCAGGATTTACCTCCGGAGCAACTTCTGCTATGGGCAAGATGAGCGGTGTGATGCAAGCTCAATCCAATCAGCTGGCATTTCTGTCGCACACCATCGGCTCTTCAAGAGCGGAGAAGGATCAGGAGATGGCAGAGATGCGACAGGCCATGGAGGAATCCATCAGACAGCGGGTCGCGGAGGAGGCGGGCGGGGACAAATCCAAAACATGACAAAAACATACAAAACAACGAAGAGTTTAATTTGTTAAAGTTGGCACTGCCTGCATTTTTTTGTGGATGTAGAATGGTTGAGTCTGAACATCTATCATCCATCATGACCACTCCAAACCGTGAAGAAATCAACAGCATCATCAGCCTTTCACTGCTGGTCAGGTGATGAGGATGCAGCAAGCAAATGCTGCATCTGGTTCAGCGGCTGCATCTGGTTCGACGGATGCAACAAAGCCCGAACCAGCTCCAACAGAAGAGGCAGTTGTTGATGTTCCGTGGAGCAGGGCGGTTGCTGGCACACACGCTGAACAAGCGTCAAGGAAAACATTGATGTAGGTTTCCTTCAACGATTGATGGTTTTAATTGAAAAGATGTGGGATTGTTATTCAAGTTTTGAGGGAAGGCGCTGAACAAGCGCTGGAAGCGCTGAACAAGCGCTGGAAGCGCTGAGCAAGCGCAAAGATTAAGCCCAACCAAGTCTTTCATGGCTATAGAATATAGAAAGCGCTGCACAAGCGTTGGAAGCGGGTTTGCTCAGTAAATGTTTGATTAGGTTTCAGCCGTGGCATGCCGCTTCTGTCAGGCAAGCCTCACGAACGAGGAGCTGCGAAAACTCAAGAGCCAGTCCGCGACGGCCAACGCCAAGGAGAAGGATGGCAACAAAAAGGCCAAGCTGAAGCTGCCGAAAGATGAGAAGCCGCTGAAAGCTGAGAAGCGGAAGAAAGATGACGGCAAGGAGAAAGATGACATCAAGCCAAAGGCTGCCAAAAAAGGATGACAATTTGCACACTGGACCATGTATCATGA